GCTCATCTCGGGTATTGTTACGTACTCTCTTGCGTTCGTGAGAGGTCAGCCGTGTGCAGAAGTACACACCCCAGCAATCAAGCAATAGCGGCGAGTGTGTGATCATCGCCGTCCTCGAAGGCGATGTACTAGCAACAAATAACGGGCGACTTCTCAGTTGCCTGTTCCGTTGTCTTTCGGACTAAGGTGGTTTCGCACAAGACCAGTTATCCAACCATGATCAGACATGGGCAGCAGTGGGAGAGCCAGAAAGTGGCTTATGCTCAAACTATTACTGCCAGAACGGCTGCACTATCAACATTGACTTTGTGCGAACATGCCAGGATCCCGGCGTCGGAATGTGCGAGCAGCGGCACTCCCTGTCAGCAGAGGCAGGAGTGACTCCATCGCAAGCCGAAGACGTCATCAAATACGGGGATCTCATCTGCAGATCTACTATTGCTTGTTCGGATTCTTGGTATCTTTTCTATTCGTTGTAAACAGAAAGATCCGATCCTGAAGATCTCATTCCTGCTATCCGAGCGGATGCGAATAGTAGCACCATTCCATGTCAAACCATCTTCGGATTCGCCAGCAGAATACGCTCAATATGGCTTTCGACTTCTATGTCTCGGTAGTGTCACAGATAACGGACCTTACAGACCGGCTAGTTCATGATCTCATTCGATTCCGTGTCGGTCGATTTGCAGCTAAACAGTTCGCAGACGATATTCCGATGCGGATAATCCCCAAGCCTAAATCACCGAGAAGGAACTATAAAAGTCTCGACGAACCTGGCCTGAGAATCTGAACCATCACGTATCAACCTTGATATGTTCGATCTCAACCTATTTAGATCAACTCACCAGATCAACTTAAGCGACAATGGGGAGCGCCATGATTCCGGCGGACGATTATATCCTCGGAAGAAGCATCACGGACTCCGTTAGGTAACCACTTAGATGCCTCTCTACTTATTATACTCTTGCGATGAAGGTCACACAGACTTGACGGGTGCTGAATATACTACAGATTGGATGCTCAGCATCTTCTGTGGAAATTTCACAAGGGATACGAGCTACACCCTGAGATTCCAGTCCGCAATGACATGAAGATTGCTGACCTTGGCTGCGGCACAGGGTTTGTGACATGACGAATTGCTCAAACTGAATCCTCTACTCACAATAGGCACAGAGTCTGGCTCCTTGACCTGTCGAGACAGCTGCCGCCCACCGTGCAACTGCATGGCCTCGACAGTAGTGACCAACAGTATCCGCCCTCTGGGCTGTGGGCGAAGAACATGACGTTCAGCGTGATGGACCTGATGTCTGATCTACCACCTTCCGTGGAGGGACAATATGATGTGGTGCATCTGCGGATGTGGGCGAGCAATGTACGCGAAGGCGAGACAGCTACCTTGATCCGTCAAGCCAAACGACTCCTGAGTAAGCTCAAACGGCCCACTGCTGTCTCCACATCCTCGAAATGACATGCTAATTCGCGCCACCCACAGAACCAGGGGGTTACATTCAGTGGGAAGACGCGGACCTGCACAACCAGGTCACGGAGGGTCGCGTGGCGGAGGAGACCGCTGCGCGGATGAGCGACTTGTTTCGGCGGGTCAACCTCAACTATATGTGCGTTCTCCTACCAGAATCGCAACCCTACCTATGTTGACTTGTTCTTCTAGCTGGGTCTCCGAGCTCCCCGATCGCATGCGTAAAGAGGATCTGGAGATCGTCGAGTCCGACCACGGCCGGTTCGCCCCTCCTCTGATGGACCTGTGCACCCGGACCTATATTCTAGCCCTGCGCGAGTTGACGCAGGGCATTAAAAGAGGACTGTCCGGGGACATTCTGTTGTCGGTGTCCGAGCAAGAGGTTGCTCTCCAGTGCCTTGCGACGCAGCAGAAGGAGAAGATCATTTACAACTGGTCTCCAGTCACGGTGCTGGCTCGGTCTAGGGAGTAAACAATCAGGCTTGGGAGAGGGGAGGGGGCCGCGGACACCATGTGCCACCTTACGTATGACGATTTCTTTTTTGGTCTCATGTAGGCCAGTCGCTTAGCTTTCTGTGGATGATACTGCGTAACTCAATTTCAAAGTTTCTAGATGGTCAAAGCTTATCCATACGATCGTGCACACTTATTGGTAGGTATGCCAATCTTTCCTGCTTGCGATGTCCTGTGGCATGCGACACTTGTCTTTCGAATGCCAATCGTAGTCAGTTTCTTCAGGGTGGACGGAAATCAGTACCTTGCATTCCTCAGCTTCTTCACCAAATGAGGTCGACGGGGCCTCGTGCCGATCCAGACATGCAGGACCTTATCTCTGACGAATGCATTGTTCAGATGTGTTCCTGCGCGTTGCAGACTGAGCTGCAAGTGCTGCGATGACCTTGCGTACAGTATTTCTATGATCATCATCGCGGGACTCGTATGTGAAACTCGAACAGCAGAGATAATTGAGTTCCTATGGCAGAATACTCTTATTAAAATTGTCTAACGTTACTAGCTTAGCTTCAAGCTCAACCTCGTGATTGCTGTTTTGAGTCGGTGCCGTCTCCGGCCGCTGATCGCAAACTTCCCAACTACCGCACACAACACTACCTCCCTGACTCAAGAATTCTTTATCGGATTTTGTGCGCAACTGCCTGTTGTCTTATCAAGTCCTAGTCAATTGGAAGCATCGACCTCGTATCTGACTAGACTCCCAGATCGAGAATTTGCGAGGAACTCATCACACTGGGAAGCACACTTGCTTGGTCTGCTTCTCGCCCCAGCCTTCTCGGCGGATTTCCCTTTCTGCTGCATTGAACTTTCAAGATACATCCTCGATACCTACAGATGAATGTCTACTGACGGTTCGCAGTGAGGTCGATACTCATATTGACTCGTGTGCATTGCACAACATAAGCCCCTGGTCGATGCACACGCTCGCTTACCCACCCACCCACATGATGCAGTAAACAGCTTACACCTCAATAAGGGATCTATGACTTCCTCTTCCGCAGCTTGACTACTATACAGCTACAGAAAGGTAAGTCATTACCCGATCTCATAGGCCAAATGTCATCCCAATTGCGTTAAGTGTTACAAATATCTTACAATTAATCCTCCTTGAAAGGACACCCCTTGGCACTACTCTCCGAGCGAGTTTTCTTCTCGACAACCTCCGCCGTCAACTTCATCAATCGATCAGCCAGCTGCATGTCATTCGCCTTGTCGCTGCCCTTCTCCACGATGCACGGCGGACAGATGTACTGGCCGCCCTCCGTCGCGACGGTGGCCGCGTACATGGTCGAGACGGCGCCCTGGAACTGCGTCTTGCGGAAGGGCTTCAGCCCGAGCGACATGCCGTAGCCCAGCAGCGGGAACGCCTCGTGGATATGGACGTTCGTCTGCGCCGTGTCGACCACGCCCGGGTGCGTCGCGTTGACGATGATGTTGGGGTGCGTGGATCGGAGGTGCTGGTTCAGCCACTTGGCGTGCAGGAGGGTGGCCAGCTTGCTGCGGCCGTACAGGGAGTTGGGGTCGTATTCGCGGTTCAGCTCCTCGACGGAGGCGAACTCGGTGTCGGCGGGCGCGCTGCTGTGCACGTTGGAGGAGAGGTTGACGATGCGGACCGTGTGGCCGGCGTCGGCCGTCTTCTTCAGCGTCGGCAGCAGGTGCGACGTCAGCACGACGTGGCCCATGTGGTTCGTCGCCATGTGCAGGTCGATCCCGTTGGTGGGCGCCAGCTGCCGGCTCATGATCCCCCGCCCCGCGTTGTTGATCAGGATGTCGATCCGGTCCGTCTGCGCCGCGATCTCCCCCGCCACGTGCGCCGTCTGCTCCCAGTCCGACAGGTCGCACTGCAGCCAGATGAAGCGCTTGCGCTTCTCCGGGCCGAACTCCTCCTCGATGGCGGCCAGGGCGTTGTCGGCGACCTCCTTGCGGCGCGATGTGACGAACAGCTTGGCGATGTTCTTGGACAGGAGGGTGTGGGTGCAGCCGAAGCCGATGCCTGGCCATCTTGGTTAGCACATGATTATGTTCTCGAAGTGCGAGTTGAAGGGGCCCATCGAGCTTGCTCTGTACCTTCACTGCCGCCCGTCACAACCGCTACCTTATCACTGAGGTCGGGAACCTCCTCTAAGCTAAACTTGTGCTCGGCGAGCTCATGGGACGGCCCACCGAAGTTTTCGGCAATTGTGTTCTTGATGGTCTGCATTTTGGAAAGGCACTGTGCGAGTTTGGAAATAATCCAAGAGAGGAACGCATTGAATCAGGCCCAGGTAATTCTACGCTGTGGCCTACAATAAGTAGAATTGAGAATTGGTATCGCGGCGATGACGGAGCCAAATGGTGATGTCACATCGAATCAGAGGCGGTGATGCAGCAATGTGGTCATCCGCTTCGTCCAGAGTTTCATTGGCTTGCTGGACGTGTTACTTTAAGCTTATTGATTGATCTGGGACTTGATCCCGGTGATCGATCTATACCGTATACTTGTGGGTAGAGGGGCCAGTTTTTTGGGGGGGTAAATCCTGCTGTCGTCGGGGATTTCTTGGCGCATACTTACCTCCACCGGGAAGGCCTTATCGTGACTTTTTCGCACATGATCATTTACCTTGACAGCAACTCGAAGTCCTACATGCGGTCTTACCATCAGCATAGAACTTGAATTAACTAACTTCGACTCCGTACTTCTCCTTTACTTTCTTGCAGGTCATACTCTCACTTGCTCTACCGCTTAGGAAGGGGTAGTAACTGAAGTCACTGGTCTACGGCACTGCGTAGTGCTATATTGCCTAAACCGGAAAGAACTAGACACCGCCGGCGGGCCGGGCGGGGCCCGGGGCAGGCGGGCGACCATTGCACCTTCCAGATTCGACGAATATTCATCCCCTCCTGTGGCATCGCATCGATTCCCAAACTCTAAAAGTCATAAACATGAGAAAGATCCGCAAAAAGGTGCAAGGATCTATTTCAACAAAAATAGATAAAAGATATATACTGTATACCAGTTTGGTATATATACCTCCGATAGGGGGAATCGAACCCCCGGCTGCCGTGCACCGAGCAATTGAGAGACGGCGATGTTAGCCACTACACCATATCGGACGTTGTATATATTGCGTGTTGAATATAATATATATGACCAATGAGCTCATGATACAGTCATCACGGGTCTATGATCTGGCTCTGTGATGTCGGCGGGGATGATGTTGGATTTGCGTACATGGCGACTGAAGCTGGGCTGTGCTTGGGATGGATAGCCGTACTTACTGGCTACATTGCTACATTGGCTGTTGCTATATTGGGGATGATGATGATGGATACATAGTTATGCCATTGCTTGAGACCTTGGTTAATTCTACGTGTGATTGCATTGTGTATGCATCTAGTGTATAACGGTCTATATTACTGCGTTGTATATACTGAACGGAGGACTGAGAGTTCCTCACTGCAAAACAAGTGGCATGCACTCCCTTATACCTATTCATCAGAGCCAAGGATAGACATAGTCAGCAACATACTACAAAATCACTTGAAACAAACAATCTCCCCATGCAGCATCCCATACCACCCCTGCTCGCACGCCACAAACTCCCGCCAGCCGTCCACCACCACCGCCAGCTCCTCCCTCGTCGCCAGCCCACTCTCGACCGCCCGGTCCGCGAACCCCGAGTGGCGCGCCCGCTCCGCCATGGAGCCGCCCCAATAGTCCCGCTCCTCCGCCGAACTGAAACACCAGCTGCCCGTGCTCTTCCGGATCTGCGTCTGCGCGAAGCCCGCCGCCTCCGCCCACACGTGGATCCTCGCCCCGGGGTGCGGGTTCCCGCCGCTGCGCTGCGCCAGCGCCCGGGTCAGACGGTCCCAGAGCTCGATCCCGCGGTTCGCAGGGTACCAGGTGTGGATGCTGGATTCGCGGGCGGCGACGATCCCGCCGTTGGGCTTGGCCACGCGGCGCATCTCGCGCAGGGCCTGGACGGGGTCGGCGATGTGCTGGAGGACCTGGTGGACGTGCACGAGGTCGAAGGTGTTGTCGGGGAAGTCCAGGGCGTGGATGTCGCCGACGGCGAAGGTGACGTTGGTGAGACCTTCGGCGGCGGCGAGCTGCCGCGCGGTGGGGAGTGGGTCGGCGAAGGAGTCAAGGCCTGTAACTTGGGCGGTTGGGTGACGGCGGGCTAGGTCGATGGTCATGCTGCCCGGTCCGCAGCCGATATCCAGGATTTTGAGGTTGGGGGTGGTGGATTGGAGGTGATCGAGGTGGGGGAGGAGGTACGGCGCGGAGTTGGCGAGGGTGCGCCAGTTGTGCGTGCGGAGCACGCTGGGGGTGTGGTTTGTCGAGTAGGTGGATGTCATTCTTGAGGATAGGTGTGCGCCTTGTAGCTTGAGTCGATGGTCTAGGAAATGTTTGTAGGCTGGGTTGAGAATGGTTACGATGGCAATATATAGGTGCCCAGTCGTGGCTGATCAGTAAGGTGGGCCATCCTCGGAGTTCCGAGACAGGGGCGGGGCCCCCGTATGGCCGTCAGCGGTTGATGTGCGTCACTAGATCAACACCCATGAATATGCGTAGTGACTCCGAACAGTAACATCCCAAACTCATCCACAGCCTGCAGCCACCTCTCGATCCTCTCTCTCTGCTCGACTGTTCCCGTACGCGCGGATCGCCACAGCTCTGAGATTTCCAGCATCCCATCCTCCCAGGTCAACAAATGACGGTCATACTCCCGTTCCCACGTCTCCCGGTCGGGCGCCTCCCACAACGATCTGCCCTCTGGAGCAAAAGCACTCCCGACTTCGTCGGCTATGAAGTTTGGCAAGAGTTGGTCGGCGTTGTAAACACTGCTGAAGAGGTACATGGCAAAGATGGCACGACGTTTCGAGGCTACCACTATCCACGACTCCCAGCTAGGTCGCGAATGGGATGCTTCGGCCACACAGAAGAAGCCATTGCGAGCCGTGCGGAAGGCCAGTTCCATGAGTGTGATCATGACTCTGTCGGTGACAGCGGCTGGGGCAGCCGGTCGCGGAGAGAAATATAACATGACGCAGTAGATCAGGTAAGCTTGAAAAGTGGATAGAAGGCTATAGTCGTGTTGGCTTGGAAGCTGGAATCAGGAATTGATTAATTTGCGTTACGTACGAACAGACCTCGGTAGGCATACCTCGTTGAACAACCTTTCCATCTCCATTTCGATCATGTTGATGACCATGACTTCACTTCCTGGAACAGCATTCTCCCACATGCGAACGAGACTGTAGCAGTTGGCCAAGGCCTGTGGCAGTTTTTCACCAGACACTTGTGATGGATGAATGATAGGAGGTACTTTGCGGTCCTTCAGCATGAACCGGGGATAGGTGGCCAGGATCCTAGAGATGTACTGTAGTGTAAATTGATGATACACCTTCGGGACCTCGTCTCGACCCGGTGGTGGGAGAATGTATGGCCGAAGCCAGCGATCTCGAATACTCTCCGCCCCAGAAGCAGGGACAAGGTCGATCTTTGTGAAGTCGACAGGCGGTTGCTGGCCTCTCGTTGACCCCTCCGGCGGATGCCTGCGTTCTCGAATCGACGTAACGCTTGCGGGGCTGCTGTTGAAAACAAGATAAGATGGTAAAGCTATGGGCATAGCAAGCGATGCAGAGGGTTGGGACTCCGCGGTACTCGTCAAATCCGGATTCTCTAAGTCTTCGGTCTGAGTAGTAGGGTGTGAAATTTCAGGATCAGTGGAGTATTCGCACTTGCGCCCGCGAGACTTGCACTGAGAACAGGTAGGTCTTTCGAGACCGCAACGAATCTTGGACTTGGTGCAGCCTTTGCAGTTCCTTTTCCGCGGAGGAGGAGGCGGCTGTCGTCGCCTGTTTGATTTGGAGGGCCTTGGGCCTGCCATGTTGGCTTTGCGTGGAAATGGTTGTTGGTTGTTGGTGCTGTTAAGTTAGCGGCGACGCGGAGTTCCGAAGTGGGTGAGGACAACCGGAAAGGAACTCCGCGACTCGAGCGACTGGCTGACATCATTGTTTCGGTTCCACAGTCCATCACTTTGGATAGCAGCTTTGGAGTGTGATTGTTCCTTCGACGTTATCTTCCGCTTGACTGCCGTTGGAGAATCCGGAGGAAGCTTACTAGGTACAGTGCACTATTCCGAAATCCTAAAGGCCCTCAAGAACGCGCAATGGCGACGCGTCGTCTTCTCCGAGGCTTGACGCGACATGCCGATAGCCCAAGACTGCTTCACTCCCCACCATCTCAAATACCACAGCATCGCGCAACAAGCACCCAAGCAAGCACCATCGTCACACAGCTTCGAAGACAACTGCACACACCAACGCCCTCCGAGAAGAGCCTGGACACCACACCACCATCACCACAAGCACTCCGTCCAATCTCGCACGCCTTTGATCCTGCGAACTCCAAACCATCAGCTCAGTCCTCAACCTCGACTTCTTTCTCGATAATCCGACCGGAGATAGTCGCGCGAACTCAAGAATACCATCACGCTACCCCCATCCACCCATCCTCCCACCGCGTCCCATGGCCAACCTCTCTCCCCATCGCTCTCCAGTCCAAACACTGGCGTCAAGCCGAAGCAGCAGCAACTGCATACCTGCAAACCGTCAGCACCTCCCACTCAACCCCTCTGACCCTCGATACCGCCCGCACAAGAACACTAATCGACACGGCGGTATCTTACACCGTCAACCTCGTCCCACTAAGCAACACCACCAGGATCCAACTCCTCGCCAAAACCTACGTCCTCCTCTTCCTCCATGACGACGCAGTTGACACGCAAACCCCTGCTCTGAGTATCCCCCCTCGCAGCGCAGTCTCCCACAACCAAGGCTCCACAGTGGACTACCTTGCTTACAATATCCTAGCCAAGGAGGTACTAACGGATGACCCTCACGAGGGAGCGCGATTGCTCGATGAGATCATATCCTGGGGATCAGCTACGCAGCGCGAGCGGCCGAAGACGTTCGGGTCGTTGGAGGAGTATCTCTCGCATGGATTGGAGGATTTCGGGGCCGACTTGATTTTTCAGACGGTGCGGTTCGCGTGCGGGACTGCGATCGAGGATGTTCGGGCGTTAGAGCGGTTGAAAGCGCTGTGCGCGAGGCACTTGTTGCTCACGAACGATCTGTATTCGTATGCGAAGGAGGTCCGGGCGCAAGCGGAGACCGGGGAGGTGGTGCTTAATGCTGTCAGGGTAGTGCGTGGGCTCATGGGCGGGGATGAGTTTGATGACGCTCTAGCTGCGAGGGTATTGAGAGTAATGATTCGGGACGTAGAAGATAGGATGAGCGCAGAGTGTCTGCGCCTGGAACAGTCGGGAGTGTTGTCCGCGGCGCAGCTGGTCTATGCGCGAGCGATGGTGGTGGCAGTTGCGGGGAATATGTTCTTCTCCGCGACGAGTCCGCGGTATGCTGGGGCTGTCGCGGGGACGAAGCTGGCGTAGCAGCAGTAACGGCCTAATTCATCGGCTGAGACATTTGAGGAACAGAATGTCTCGGGAGCAGTGGAATGGCCCTTCTGGAACCATCGATGACCTTCCAAGTTGTCACACAAACAACAACCTCCGCTCCCTCTTTCCCCTCACACTATCCCCAAAAAGCGACTAGTTCTTACCCTCCAGCTGCCACTGCCAGCCACCATATTAAATGGCCCCATCACTTCCCTCCCTCCCTTTCTTCTTCCTCTTCCTCCTCCTCCTCCTCTCATCACCCATCCTTCTTGGAGACGAGATCATCCTGCCATAATGTAGGTAGGCAGCATCTCAACCCCCAAAATCAACCTCCACGGTACTCGGTAGTGGTATATACCTCCCAGCACCGACAACCAGCCCCCCTCGCGAGTTTCTTTCCAAAACCCCGAGGGGGCGAGTGTCCTTGCTATCTTCCAAAAGTACCAAGATCCAAGCGGGCATCAATCAAGCATGCTGCTACTTGCGATTCCCCTCGCGGGGGTTGCCCAATGTGGTTGCATGAAAGTCGGTGTCCTACATTTCCCGTAAATCCTAGCAGGCTGTGGTGTGAAATGAATGTAAAGCTTTTCATAGGGCGCCTCATCAGTAATTTAGTAGCTGTGTGAGACAATGATACTGGCGGAGGAGCTA